AAGCATTCCTCGTTTCCCTTGTCCACAGGGTGGAGGAGGGGGACGGGAGCCTTGAATTGCCTTTGTTTACAGGGGGACCACCCACCCTCCTGTCTCTCCTGTCCACAGGGAGGGGAGGTGGGGTGGGGGGGCTCAGTTCGTCCACAGGATCGCAAAGCTCCCAAAAGAAATTGCATCGACGAAACCATTGAGGACGATTGCGGAGGAGTTTTTGGTAACTGAAGAAGGACACGTATTTATGGCAGCGGGTAATCATAAACTAACCCATGGAGTGGCAATAATGGCGCTTCGAAGATGGAGGACACATATCAAACAACGGGAGCCTGTTTCTGAAAGAGTCGGGTATCTTGACGTCTGTATTTGCAGGTCTGGCCACGATTGGTCACGGCATCCTTCCCACGCGGTGGATTTGCGGATTTCCACGTGCAGTCGGTCTACGATATTTGGGCACGGATTCAAGCTAAGGCTTACCAACATATCATCATGAAGCAGAATATGGATCGAAAAGCACGGGCCCGTTTGGTTATGGCATTTCGAACGCGTGGGGGCACTGGCTGCGACAGTGGACGGAGGCCCAAAAGCTAAATATAGCAAGTACATAAAACAAGCAAATTTTACGAACAGATGCGCGTGCCCCGGAGCGGGCAATCTCCGAAGGCAGATCGCTCATTTCCTAGTGAATCGCATATTTTGGAGAACAGCTACAGACTGCGGACCGACGAACGTCGCAGACTTCGGCTCCGACCGCGCTGCACTCAGACTTTGCAGTACCGCCCTGCGGGGGCAGGGCGATGAAAACGTGGCCAATGGCAAGCGCAATATCAACTCACATGCGGTGCGATTGGCCTCCGCAAGATATGCGCGTATTCCAAAGCAGCATTGCCAGCGGAGCTCGTTAATTACTGAATGCGGCAAGCGACGGCGTGCCACCCAGTTGTGAAAAAGTGGGGGCCAAACTATGGAAATCGATGTCACATGATGGATCGGATAAGCTAGTACCTAGTGCTGAGCAGACGGACGACAACGGCTTGGGAGCACTATTGCAGAAGGGATGCGACATCAACATTGACGACCCTTCAATCATGCGGGCGCTCGACGGAGTGATCCGGCACATAATCCGAAATAGTAGCAGAGAGAAGCGGATATCGGAAAATGACCGCATTTCATCGGAATGCCGAAACATCAGAGAGACCTCTGGCATCAAATCCCAAAAAGCATGAGATCTGGCAACGTACGTGGCTAATGACAGTGCGGAGGTGCAGTGCGGAAGACATGACATAGCAGGTTTTTTTTGGGGCTGAATTCTATTGCAACCTGTATTCGGATCTGCCTTGTACCAAGCGGACAGCCGACCACGGCGGGCTAACACAGACCACCGTGTTCCAATTGCGGTACTACGGGAGAACAGCTGAAGAATATCAGGTGGCATTGTGGGCGGTAGCAGTGGACTTCCAGAAAGCCTTAGACAGCGTCGCCCACGTGGGCATGTGGGGCGCGCTGGCTGACCAGGTCGTCGAAGAAGGATACATCCACGATTTACAACATGTCTACAGAGTTCAAACAGCATCTGTGCGGACGGATTACAGGAGCAAGGCGTTCCAAATTCAGCGAGGACAGAGCAGGGTGACCCTCTAAGTTCGCTGATGTTCTGTCGGGTTCTGGAGCGCATCATCGACAAAGTCAAAACGCTGTGGGCGAAAGAAAGTATAGGCATACCAATGCTATCAAACGGTTTCCGTCTGACAAACTTGCGTTTTGCAGGTGACGTGCTCGTTCTTGCGGCTTCCCTGAGACGCGCTGCCCGCGTGGCCAGTGATTCGCGCGAAGCAGCTGCGCAAGTAGGCATGTTTGTGCACCCGCAGAAAACGCACATTTTGAATGCTGGACGCGGCCCATGGTGAGAACGCATTCGCGGTGAACATCAGTCGCATGGAGATCGAGATTTTGTCCGCGCGCTGGCATGCGAACTATCTTAGCCAGAATCTATGTTTTTCTGACACCCAGTCAGTGGAGGTGGAAAATTGTATTTCGATGGCGTGGCGGGCAGTTTTCCATTTGAAGCATGAGCTTGTTGGGCGTGCGTGCTCGCGGCAGAATCGCGTGCGCTTGTTCGGTGGAGTCATTGCGCCGACGTTGCTGCGTGGTTGTGAACCGTGGGCGCTCGCTGTAGAGCTGAAGAACATGATGCGTCGCACTTAAAGACGCATGTTCAGGGTGATCGTCGGGGCGCCGCGCCGCGAAGCACTGCGGCCAGACGGCGGCGATGCCGACAGCGAGTCGCGGCGAGCGAGTGGCGGCCGAGGCAGACGTGGGCAGCGCTGTGGGAGAAGAGGGGGAGTTGATCCTTTGATAATGCAATCCGAACGGCATGTCGAACCTGGGGTGGATTGGGCGAGAAAGGGGCGCCCTGGAGGCGGAGAAGTGTATCGACTTGCGCGAGATCGATGATTGGATCGCGCATCGAAGACGGACGAAGTTGGAATGGTTCGCGCGGGTCTTGAGAACGCAGGGGGGGGGGGCGGGGGAGATGGGCGTGGCGAGCCTTATCGTGGGGTCACCGTCAGTATCCAGAACTCCAAGCGAGAAGGCGCCCGCGCGGGCCCAGGCGACGATGGCCGGGCGATATTCGCAAATTCCTTGCAGATCACCGAGAGACATTTCTGCCGGTAGAAAGGATGGTATTCTCTGGCGTGCGTGAGGCCCGTGATTTCGTGCGTGGCATGGTGCGGGGTGCCGCTCGGGGCGCGCTTGGCAATCTTGAAGGGATGTTCTGCTCGTCGGTTTGCTTGTTTGTGGGGGTTTCGGCCCCGGCCCGCGGCGCCTGCAGGGCGCGCAGTGCGGGTCGCAATCGAGGGCGAACGTGACAGTCTTGTCCTGGAGACCATCCCGAAGGTGCTAATGCCGGGTTTCCCTGCGCTAGACGAGGTAGCTGGGGCCGGGGGACAGGGTCGGGGAGTTCCGGTTGTTGCGGCAGCGCCCAAATCACCGGCGCATTCTGTCGGCGGTTAACAGGCAGCGCGACAGCGTCGTGATCAAGATGCGCAGCTAGCACAGCGTCACCGCGGTTGAGGAGCTGGGGGGCATCTGCCAGGAGTTCACCCCCCTGACGCACCCTCGACCACCCGCGCATTATCCGCTGTGTAAGTATGCTGCGCAGCCGGTACCATGTGCATCTGGTGCCCCAGAATGGCGGCGACTTCTGCGCGGAGCAGGTGTTGTCGACTCAGCCAGGCCGCCATCTGTCCAGGGGCGACGCCGTGGGCCTGCGCAGCCTGGGTCGCGAGCGCTCTGTCCCATTGCCACGTCGAGATCTTCGCTCGCGTGCAGGGGCGCTGAGGCGCGCGTCGGTAGAGATTGCTGGGAATCGGCTCGTCTGCCGTCTGGTGGACTCTGGCGGGGCGGCCTGCGTCCCAGGCTCCAGCGCGCGGGAGACCCGGCGCGTTCTTTCCCGCGCGCCGCTCCCAGCGCCGGGGGGGCCGCGTTGGCCTAGGCCAGAAGATTGCCTGAGCCGGGGGGTGCGAGCTGTCGGCGCCATGGCGCCGTTTCGTATGCCTCGCGCAGGCCGTGCGGGAGATTCTCGAGTTCTTCGCCCAAGCAGGCCCCCATGCCCAGGCGATGGCGAGCATGGCCGGCGCGCGCGACGGCGCGGCGCTGGCCTGCCAGGAGTCGCTGCTGAGGCCCGAGCCCCTCCGCAGCTTTCGACGCGGTGGGCGCGGCGCTGTCGGCCGGGCGCGTTTAGGCCGCTTGTTTGCGGGTGAATCTTGGGAAACACATGATAAAAGAAGCGTGTGCGTTCGGTTTTCGGTGCAGATTCCTTTGGTCGGCGCTGGAGCCTCCTGGCGCCGTGGGGGAATGGAGTTTCCCTTGTTCCCCTATCAGAGCTTGGCTCTGCTGGGGTCCTAGCGGAGTCATGTGGTTAGGTGAGCTCTATCGCAGACTTCCGGGGCCCGCCCGGGTGCCCAGGGTGCCCGGGTGCCCGTGTGCCCAAGT